ACAACAAAAAAATGTTTTTTCTCATTTCTTTCCATTGTTCTGCTTTGGCAACTTTATTGCACATTAGTTCAAAATAAGCTGCCAATAAAGTTGGATAAAATTAAACTCATGCTGGAGTTTTTTCCTCAATAATTTTTGTTGGGTTGCTTTTATTTTCATAAGGATTTGAAATGTGGCATCATCGTAGGCTCGGAATTTCACTATCTGGGTAGTTACAACTTCTACCGAGTTTTTATGAATTCCAATTTCAATTCTTTTAAAATGAGTTTGGTTTTACTGTTAGCTTCACACGGAAGAGGTCTCTGTAGCAGTTTGTCTTTTCCTTTACAAAAAGCATGACATAAAACCAGAATCTTCTATACTGTAATTAGACTTAGAAAAATTATGTGATTTCCAATTTAACAGAACTTTAGAACATGACATAGTCCACAACCCAAAGCCAACATTTGTTTGAATATATGCTTTCAGAAAAATATTTTTTTTAAAAATAGCATTTGTGAAGAGGCCAAAATGATTCAATTTGAGATAGCCAAAAGATAAACATCTTGGAGTGAAAATTATGCACTATAGTAATTTGATTATGGTGAAAATCTAACACTGTGTGTCATAAGCAAACAATAGGAAATTTTATGCAACTAAACATTTTTCTGGCTATCTAACTATGATTTATACATCTAAAATGATAAATTTAATCCCATCACCAGTAGATCAATTTCAGGTATAACAGATAAAACCAGAATAAATCATCATATCACTGTATTGGAAACACAAAGAGCAGATAGGAGGGGAATTTTGACTTGAAACAGAAATCTGTTTTCAAGCTTCCCAAGGACAATGTGCTATGGAGAAGTTCAATGTATACATAAAGTCATCTGATCCAAATATGCTAATGATTTTTATTGGTCAAATCTTAAAAGTAAGGTTTATTTTTATGAGTGTGCATTAATTAACCCAGCATGTACTATCTTTCAGGCTATCTTGCCAGGGACTTTCATTTAAACATGTTTATTGTGAAATGTTTGCATTCTCCACATTTGTGGCCCACACACAGATTATTTCATACTTTTCTTTAGAGCACTTTAGAAAAGTTAAAAGGAGTTATTGTTTTTGATTAATGCCATTTTGGGGCAGTTTAAAAAAAAAGATGGGGAGTTCCAAATCTTAGTTCTGCATACATTCTTCAACGTTAAAAAATAAACAGATAAACTTAAAAAAATTTTTTTCAAACTCTACAACTTGCACAGCACAAAGAGATGTGAGGGCTACCCGGTGTCTTGTAAGGTGGTCTCCTCAAACTGAGCTTTATTAACTTGGTGTCTGTGTGAACTCATGTGGAATAGCAATGGGCCGATGCGGTACAGCTATCAATCACGAGCGGGAAGCAGCGAGGCACACAGCCGTGGCGTGGTGCCATGCAGATGGGAGTTCTAAGGCCCTGCCTGTCATCTTTTGATTAAGAAAAGGAAATGATTTCACTAAAAAGATATTCCCTCTTGTGTTGTTTTGTTTTAACTGAGTTTGTACTTTCCACCGAACTGGACATATTTATTGAGACTCATAAGTTACTTCACAGTTACCAACATCACTGCAATCTCAACAAACTATTTTTTCTTGCCAATTATCTAAATATCATAACTATAAAATATCTTAAAACATTCTCCGTACTGTAAACATCTTAGCTACAAAGCTTTGAGTGTAAACAGTGCGATGCATCAGAATGGTTTTAAGCGATGTTATAAAAACTGCTCTTAAAAACTAAACAAAAATGTAAAGCTCCCATCTGTTTTATGATTTTTCCACTGCTGAACGGCTGCTGTGTGCCAGTTCACTGAACCGTGGCTTGCTAAAGAGATTGCAGGGGTCACAGATTGAAAAAACAAAGAGCATGTCTTTAATGGTGGGATTTTTTTTCTCTTTCTCTCTCAAGTCTTCCTGACATGGCTGGAACTGAATTAAGTGCACGGTGGCAGAAGGGACGAAACATTACACACACACACACACACACACACACACACACACACACACACACAACGATGCCTGTTGCAAGAGAAGCCCTCTCTGAGAGTGACACACTTTCTAAGAGATGTCATTTTGGTGATTATTTCAGCCTCTTTGGTGATTGTGTACCTGCAACCTCTATTCACTCTGACTTCCTTGCGGAATTTTCGTTTTGGCCCTCTCTGAACAAGTTAAAAATAGACAGCAAATTGCATGCTAAGAAAAAGCATTCAGGCATATTTTTGTGTACATATGCAGGTAGGAGACGATGATCATTTAGAGCCTGCTGATTCTCCTCTGCTCTGAGCTCCAGTCCACAGGGATACCAGGCACCTGAGCAGGTGAAAAGACTCTTCAAAGCTACAAGATGAAAACTATCCCTCGCTATGGAAGATTTGGCTTAGATACATTCACACACAAAAGTGAGAAGCGCAAGGGCTTACAGGGCCTATGCCTCTAACCCATCACTGGGTTCAAAATGGCAAACACATAGGACAGGATGAGTCAAAGGCCAGTATTGGGCTCCATGAGATCCTTATGGGGGACTTCATCAAGCTATGCACTGTATGCCCTAAGAGGTCTCCTTAGATGACTGCTAGCATCCATCATCTTGTCTCTAAGGCCACTTGCAAGGAATAACAGCCAGTGTGACCACTGAGTTTAGGCTCCTGGCAGATCACCTGACCTGTCACCCAAAGACACAGCCACTAGGGTCTAGCAGCTCCTTTGACTCCAAGAAGAGGCTCAGGGTGAGAAGCAGTCTGTAAGTCAGCTCCCAAGGTAAGGAGGCTGCTCCCAGGCTCCCCTTTAGACAGCAGACACTCCTGGAGCTGGGCCAGGACTGAGAGGCAGCCTACAGGACCAGGCAGGAAGAGGGAGAAGGCAGCCTGCCTACCTGAGGGAGAAGTATGTCCATCAGGCTTCTCCATAGGCTACACCACTCACCACAGGGGCACCCCCAGGGGCAGTATTGCACAGATGTGAGGGAGGAGGGAGAACATTTAGGACTGAGGATGCCTGAGGAATCCTCCTGCTTTGAAAAGCAGCTTCTATGCCTATACTAAGTGGCTACCCATCCACAGTTCCAGTGTCCCGCCCAGAACTGCTCCTTCATGTCCCAGGGCTTTCACAGCCCTTCCTGTCACCCTATAGTAGGTGGCCTTATAATATCACCCCCACATCCATGAGGAACCCTGGCCCCCAAGGAGGTGGCGCCCATTGAAGATCTATCATGGGAAGATCCCCGCCTTATTAGTGAGCTGATCTCTGCCCCTGGGGTGATGCTGCTCCCTGAGACCAGAGGGCAGGATGTGTCAACACTGCTGCTCCGCCCTCCTGTGTGCAGTCTCCCACCTGCATCTCCCACCTGCATCTCCCACTTGCCCCTCCCCCAGCAGACCAACCTGATACCCTTCAGGCGGGCACCCAGCGATGCTCTCCAGGATCTGACATGAGTCTCCCCCTGCACTTGTGGTTTCAAGAGCCCAACCAAGACCCCAGGCCATCCCATGTGGCCAATGTCACTGTGTCCAGAGCAGTAGTCTTCCCAAAGAGCATTTGGCCCATAGGGCTCTGGGGGCCCCCTGGGAGGCTGGCACAATTCCATGCACATTCCAAATTTAAATCTGGGACGTTCTCCCCTTTTTTCACTGCTTCAGAACATGGGGGAGGCATCTGCCTGGAAACAGCTGTCACCCAAAGAAGAGGCGGCACATGCGGCCCTCCCTCCTGCAAACAGCACCGTCAAATGCCTCACAGCAGCCAGTGTTACTTAGCTACAGAACTTCGCAGGCTGGGGAGGGAGAAGGAAAGACGCTCCGGGGAAGGACAGCAGCCACCTCGCCTGCAGGTGTGCACTGTCACACATGCCACCAGTCAGCAGACAAACCCTCCAAGTGGGCATTGTGTCCTTGTTTCACCAGTGGATAAACTGAGGCTCAAAGAGAAACTAACATGCCCGAGATCACACACCTCTAAAGTAATGACACAACAATCATCACTGTAATAAGAAGTCACACACACTTTTAAGCATGTCAACTGTGCTTACCATGGGCCTTGTGCTTCTCTGTGTGGTCTAAGTTCAAATCCTTACAACCTCACCAAGAAGTTCTACTAGCACTCAATATAGACAGGAAGAAGGGGGAAGAGTAAGGTGAAGTCCTTGGCCCAAGGTTAAAGAATCAACGATAGCACAAAGGCTCAATCCCAGGCAGAGTGGGTCACTTCTCTCAGCCACAGGCTCTACTGCCGTCACCATCATCACCATCGAGGGAGGAGCACAGTGACCACTTACAGGACTCTTGCTGGGAGCTCGGGCCAACTTGAATTCCTTTAAATTTCAGTTACTATTGTCTCCATTTCTACTGTTCACTTTTTCCTCACTATATAGATAGTAGAAAACTGAGATTTTGAGAGATTATGCAGTTTATTGAAGGTCAAACAGCAGCAGCAGAGCCAGAGCAAACCCATGCAGCTCTGCCTAACAGTCCTGCCTCTGCCCCGCGAGGGAGGTGCTGGGGACCTGCGCTGGGCTGTGGGCCATCTTTCTGGCAGTGTCAGGGTGGGCTCCCAGAAGGGGAGCTGGGACTGCACCATATGCCACGCACAGCAAAGCTCTCTGGGTGCTGTTGCTGCAGTCCGTGTGTACTCCTCACTAAGGCTAATCTGGATGATGTCGGTTTACTCTAAGTCCAACGAAGGGATGGTAGCCAGGAAAAGCCTGGCTAAAGTGGTGGCTAAGCTGAAATCTACAGTTCACGCAGATGCAGGGAGGAGCTACTACAAACACTGACCATATTTAGGAGAATTGGGAGATGGAGGATGCACACTGTTCAGTTTAGCAAGCTGACTCTATGGGCCAGGCAGCCCAGCTGGGCGTGTGCAGACCCAGCCCTGGTGTCTCTGGTCATGGACAGCCATGGGTAGGCTTTGCATGGTCTCCCCTCTAGCTGGTCCAAGTCAGAGAGCAGAAAAAGGACAAAGCTGGACATGGTAGTACACACCTGTAACTCTTCTTTGGGAGGCTGGGGCAGGAGAATCACAAATTTAAGCCCAGCGTAGGCCACTGAATTTGCCAGGAAACCTGTCTCAAAAAAAAAAAAAAAAAAAAAAAGCTAGAGAGTTAATTCCATGCCAAGGCCCTGGGTTCAATTCCAAGTACTGGCAGGGGTCGGGGGGAGAATAAAGAAAGAAGACAGACTCAAGGGGCAAAGGAGAAGTATCAAGAAGCAAAAAGATGGTCATATCCCCCCAAAATCCTGAGACATACTGAAAACAAGATCTGGAAGGGCTGGCTCACACCTGCAGAAAACAGCAAAGCCATAAGCTACCCCATAAGTCCACACAGCTCAGACACGGTCAAGATGAAAAATGCGGGCAGGTCAGGCTGCACTTTCCTCAAACTAGTCACTAATGAAGTTTGGGGTGAGATATTTTGAAAGCAGCCCACACAGCATAACCACACACCATCATCAGCTGCCATCCTCAAATGCAATTTCATTCATAATTAAATATGGAAAAGCCACCACCTTAAAATAACATCAGGGGTCACAATTGAACTCTCCACCCGGGGCCTGTGCATTCCGGCCTCTACCGGCCTCTCCAAGACCTTCTCCCGTGCTTCCCAGGCCACCCTCTCTCCAGTCCAGATCATCTCATGCAGTCACGTCTGCACCCCCTTGCCCACCCCACCCTGCCTTCCATGCAGTTCCTTCTCCTCCTTCTCTGTCTACAAGCACCATCAGGATCCAGAGATCCTCTGGAGCAGTCTCTCTCATGCCTTCACCAGTGCAAGGCTTTGCCAGCCCCTAAATTTTTGTAGCCATCATTTATACACTCAGATACTCCCTTGTGATGTCCCTTCTATTGTCCTTTCAAGCACCATTTGCATTTCACATAAGAATGTCCCCTTCATTCATTCAGCAGATGGTTTCTGAGCACCTACTATGTGTCAAGTGCTGGAGAGACAAGTGACTGATCAGACATGGTCTCCACCCTCCTGGACAACTTCTGGAAGAAACAAGTGACAAAAACATGAATAAATATGCACCAAATATTTCCAGGGGGACATCAGGTTCCCTCCCTTGCACACACTGTGGAATACTCAGTTTGTGTTGAGAATTTGCAGACCAGCTCCTTCCCCTGGTCCCACCATGGCTCTACCTCTATGTTCCCTCCTGCGCTGTACTTGGGAGAGACTCCCCCATGGGATGGTCAGCTTGGAGAGGGCTTCCCCCTAACATTGTCCACCCAACCCATAGTTCTAGGAAGCTCTGAACAGCCTGATGTTGAGCTGTTAGTGGCAACAGCTGCAGGGGAATTATAGAGGACTGAGAAAGAATAAAACCACTCTGAAGCAAGTAGTTAGTGAGCATCAGGAGTGTTTGAAAGAGCACGATCTGGAGGCAGCTGCATTAAGGAGCAGTGCTCAGGTACAATGGCAGCTCAGGAACTGTGTGCGAAGCAGCGCTCACAGCCTCTCACACACATGGGCCAGCTGGAGGAGAATGGACAGGCCTAGTGCAGGAGCTGTGGGGCCAGGGAGACTTGCAGCAGGCACTGGGAAGGGGGCCAGGTGCAGGAGCAGATCAGGCGACCAGAGACTCGGCGCATTAATCAGTCCTTGAGGGACTGTGTCTGCTGCAAGCCTGGATTCCACAGAAAAGAGGGACTGGATGTGGCCAAGTTCCAGGAGGCACAGTCCACAGCCACAGGAGGAGAGGAGGCATGCTACACTGTGACACAGGATAGGGCACATGGCCTATGGCAGTGAAAACAGCAGCAGTAACAGCAGCTGTGTTATTGGGGTCTAAGATGTTGCTGAACCCCTTAGGTGCATAATTTCATTTGATGCAATAACCCTGTTATAAGAAAGCTGAGACTAAGCCTCAGAGATGTTAAATGACTTGTGCAGTTTCACACAACTAACACAGGGCAGGATCAGAACCAATTGTCATGTCCTTAGTTCAGCTCAGCGCTTTCCCCCTGGTGTCAAATCCTGCATGTGCTGGCCACATATGCTTCTTCTGTGACTTTCTCGTACCCCTCTTCACCTCCCACCTGTCCCCAGCCCCTTATGTTGAGTAGAGCTCTCTAAGACTGGCCTCTGGGCTGAGACCATTGGGATTGCACCATCAATGACTACATACCTATGACTGAGCCTCTGTGCAAAGGGTCTCGTAGAGCTATGGAGGTCCCTATCTTTTCACATTTCTCTATGCAGAGAAGGAACCTGCCAGTTTGTATAGGCCCAGTCTACAGCTGAGAAGACAGAGGCACAGAGGGGAAACGTGGCCTCTCTGCCATGGGAGGGGAACTTCAGCTTGTGACGTGATACCCTAACCTCTCAGGTTTGCCAAGGCAAGCTCTTCTTGGGATCTCACATCATTGTCAAAGAAGCAGGAAGTCAGTATTCACCACCACACAGAAACTGGGTTAGAATTCCAAAAGAGAAACCCAGATTTTAGACACTGTCAAATTCATTATTTAACTTTCCAGAGTTTTAGGTAATAAGCTTTTATAAACACATTTTTCACCCATTCCCAAGAATTGCACAGCTTTGGGTCTAATTTGGAATCCATTATCAATGCTCTAACAGTCATTGTTAGACTGCATGGAAGGAAGAGAAAAGGTCCTGGGACCCCAAGTACTAGACTCCCATTGGTTAAGTGTCTTCTTTACTTGGGTGCTACCATGTCCAGTGAATGAGCTCTCTTTTTACTGAAAGTTGTGGGTCTGTCACCACCATGTCCATTAATAATCAGCAAATTAGCAGCCTGCTTGTGCAGGCACTTCTCTTTTCAACCTGAAGGGTGGTTTGGGGGTTTCCTTTAAATTTAACTAACCTCATTAAGAATTCATAGCACACCAAAACAATGATCTTTTAAAAAATCATCTTTTCAGAAAAGGGATATCAGCAAAAATAATCACTATTCCAGGCTCAACAATGAGTCTCTAATGAGGACAGCAGTCATCAGTTAAATAAACATATCATTAGGGTGGGGCTAGATGTATCAATACAGACACAGTCCACTAATCCATGGGGTACTTTGTGTTTAGTCTTGGTGGGTCCAGCTGGTGGGTGGGTACCTCTAGGACAGAGTCACAGGTCACCTTCATCAGTAGGGCTCGGTGTGGATGAGGCCAGGGCAGGTGGGCACTCCTGATGGGATAAATGGCAGAAGGTAGCAATAGGACACAATCCTGAGAATCAGACATGCTGCAGCAGGAATCAAGTTCAGATCAGGAAAGTGTCCAGGAAACCCTAGCCAAAGCCAAAACCATGCCGGAAGATGGAAAATAAGAACCTCTTGACCAGGGGCCCCATAGCCATGTAGACACCAGAAGCCAAGGCCTAAGCTTAGCATTCAGGGTGGCCACAAGTCTCCACCCAACTCCCTCCAATGGAAGAAGCTCAAGTGGCTCTTCCTGCTCATCACTATAGCCAGGCTGATGCCTGGGGCCATGTCCCATTGTCCACCTTCTGTCACTTGTATTGGCAACTTCTTCACAGCCTGATCTCATCTCTACCTACCCCTGCCTATGAGCATACAGTCAGATGGTAATCCGTTAGAATCCCCAGACTTCTCCTTGTCTAGGATCCTCCATGTTCTATAGATGAAACAGAGCTGTCACAGACAGGAGGCCACTCAAGCAGGGCTGATGGTCATAGACACGTGCTCTGTCTCTGCAAATATTTATCATATTCTTCTTCTGAGTCGAGATTGTACTAGACTCCGGGGCACAGCAAAGAATAAGGCATACTTAGCCCTTTCTCTCACGGGACTTGCATTTATGGGAAGGAAAAGACAGTGAGATGAGAAATAATTAGGATCATTATAGATTGTAACAGAGCATTTATAGAGCAAGTAAGCAGGGTGAGAGATACCAAGCAACTGGGGAAGGCTGATTTTACAGAGGGAGGTCAAACAAGGGCTTTCTGGGGTGGGAAGAGAATATTAGATCCAAGGTCTGGAAGAGGAGGACAAACTAGGACATAAAAGTTTCAGGAAATGACAACCATGGTGAAGAAGCAGGAGAGCAAAAGTAGACGGTGAGGATGCCCCGCTAAGGTGTACAACACATGCACACACGGAGTGATCACATGCACCCTCCAGGAGAGCTCATCTCCAAGAAGAGGACTATGGGCTCTTCTGAGGTCAAGCAGAAAAGTTCCTAGAGATGAGGAAGGTCAAGGAAGCAGATCCACCTCATTGGGTACAGGACCTTGACCAACTCAGTCAATGACACTGGCTGACAGATCCTCTGAAACTCAACAAGCAGGCATACTTCAGGGAACAGGGACACCAGAATGCAGGTCACAAGTGACTTCCTTACACACTATCCTCAACCTACTTTGCAAAGAAATCTGCCTGAAAACAGGCATTACTGTGACAGACACAGAACAGACCTAAACTCTGTGGTATTCAGGAATTATCTAATAGGAATTGGTAATATGTCATAAAGAGACAAACTATGCTCTTTAGTGATAGGTGTCAAAGACCTTGTACCTAATCTTCCCAGTGTGTTGCTGAAAATGCAGTTGGGACTGAACCTTCTGGCGTCTCGTTCCCGAAATGGAATTTCATGAACAAAGTAGTACGGTTAAATTTTGAAAAGCAAGGGTTCTAACTTCCCCTCACTCAAGTAAGGGTTTCATTGCCTGCAAGCCAAATTCTCCCCAGCAGGGAGTCTTCAGCACTGGGCAAAAGCCTCCACTTCAACCCTTCAAATGCCTGGCCACTTGCTTCTCTGCTTTTGCAGTCCTGAGGAAACACAAGCCTGCCACGTCTTGAGCAGGTGTCAACGAAGCCAAACTCAGGAAGAGTTTCATAGACAGGAGCTCAGGAAATCCAAGTGGCAGAGTGGGGAGTCCTCAAATTACCTCCAAGGAACATGAACTCAGGCCTATAATGGTAATGTGACTTTTCTAAATTCCCTTCGTGACAAAGCAAGGTGTTGAGTTGGGCCTCCTATTCCCAACTTCAGCATCAAGGGTCTTCTGAGTCTACCCAATTATTCCTCACATCACTATTAGCTTCCAGCCCAGAAATCTGCAAAGCTCTGTTCTCAAAGAGCAGGCAG